TGTCCGTGGTGTGGGATGGCCCTCTTGAGGGGCATTGGATCCTCTTTCCGGCCCAAACACATTGATGGAGGGCGCGCGGTTCTCGAAATGGGGCTCTCACCGTGGAGCCGCGTACACTCGCCTCGACAACGGTGCCCAGTATTTGCACGGATGGAGGGCGTGCGGCAATTTTGACAACATGTGTTCTCGTTTTAGCGCTGCTCGCGCTCGTTTTAATCCATCAGTCAGCTTCGACGTCGAATCGTTTTTTTCCCAACCATCCTGTGGTGTTGGGTCCTCGTTTTGAGGAGACGGTCCCCGCGTCCTCCTCCTCCTCCTCCTCCTCCTCCTCCTCCTCCTCCTCCCTCCTCCCCCTCCCTCTTCCCCGCGTTTCAACCACTCAGTGCAAGGAGTTTTCGTGGCCCTGTACGGAGCTCCACTCAAGGCCCTGGTGGCAAGGTTCGCGTGGCGGCCCCGCCTCATTTTGGCGCGCCCCTCACAAGGTTCGTGGCGCCAAATGGAACTCCACCGAAGGCTTCGGTGGCAGGGTTCGCATGGCGGCCCCCCCCCCCATGTTGGCGCACCCCTCAGACAGTTCGTGGCCCCACAGGGAACTCCACCGAAGGCCCCGGTGGCAGGGTTCGCATGGCGGCCCCGCATTTTGACGCACCCCTCACACGGTTCGTGGCCCCATAGGGAGCTCCACCGAAAACCCCACTGGCAGGGTTCGCATGGCGGCCCCGCCCCATTGTGGCGCACCCCTCACACGGTTCGCGGCCCCATTGGGAGCTCCACCGAATGCCCCGGTGGCAGGGTTCGCATGGCGGCCCCGCCCCATTTTTGCGCACACCTCGCACAGTTCGTGGCCCCATGGGGAGTTCCACCGACGGCCCCGGTCGCAGGGTTTGCATGGCGGCCACGCCTCATTTTGGCGCACCCCTCAGACGGTTCGTGGCCCCAAAGGGAGCTCCACCGAAGGCCCCACTGGCAGGGTTCGCATGGCGGCCCCGCCCCATTTTGGCGCACACCTCACACGGTTCGTGGCCCCATAGGGAGCTCCACCGAAGGCTTCAGTGGCAGGGTTCGCATGGCGGCCCCGCCCCATTGTGGCGCACCCCTCAGACGGTTCGTGGCCCCAAAGGGAGCTCCACCGAAGGCCCCGCTGGCAGGGTTCGCATGGCGGCCCCGCCCCATTTTGGCGCACACCTCACACGGTTCGTGGCCCCAAAGGGAACTCCACCGAAGGCCCCACTGGCAGGGTTCGCATGGCGGCCCCGCCCCATTTTGGCGCACCCCTCACACGGTTCGTGGCCCCATAGGGAGCTCCACCAAAGGCCCCAGCGGCAGGGTTTGCATGGCGGCCCCGCTCAATTTTGGCGCACCCCTCACACGGTTCGTGTCCCCATGGGGGCTCCATTGAAGGCTTCAGTGGCAGGGTTCGCATGGCGGCCCCGCTCAATTTTGGCGCACCCCTCACACGGTTCGTGGCCCCATAAGGGGCTCCATTGAAGGCCCCAGTGGCAGGGTTCGCATGGCGGCCCCGCCCCATTGTGGCGCACCCCTCACACGGTTCGTGGCCCCATCGGGATGTTCCTTTGCTTCGTCCCACCTGCCCTGCGGTTCTCACACTTGCGTATGGTTGGGTCCTTCGCCAGGATCGTTAATTTTTTGTTTCGCCTTGGCGCCGCGCGCGCGCGTCTTTGAACATCACGAAGTCACAGGATGGAGGGCGGCTCCTTTCGGAATTTGGTTCTCGCCGAAGTTGTGCTACACGTGTCAAGTTGTGCAAGGGCTACACGGATGCAGGGCGCTACGTCTCAACACGGGGTGGCCGTTTGAATCTTCGTTTGATCCTCTGGTCAGCAACAGCGCAACAGTATGGAGCGCGGCCTTCTTCAAATCGGGGCCGTCATTGGGAATGTTATGTTATGTGAATCTTATGCATGGCCCAGCCGGATGGTCGATGGAAGTTTCTTCAACACGGAGGTACCGACCGAATCCTGGGTTGATGGGGGCGTTCGTCGGTGCAGGGGGACTCTTCCGGGCACTGACACACAATGCTTGTACAGCGAGTGAAAAGGGGGAGGATGAGGAGGAGGAGGAGGAGGAGGAGGAGGAGGACGGAGGAGGAGGAGGAGGAGGAGGAGGCAGGAGAGGAGAGGGTGGAGGAGGCAGGAGGAGGGAGTGTGGAGGAGGGAGGGGAGAGGGAAGGCGGAGTGAAGGTAGGAGGGGTGGGGAGGAGAGGGGAGGGGGAGGATGTGGGGGGAGGAGGTGAAGGAGGAGGGGAAGGAGGAGTTGGAGAGGGGAAGGAAGGGAGGGAGGATAGGAAGAAGGAGTAAGGTAGATGGGCAGGAGGGTGAGAGAGGGTAGGAGGAGGTGAGAGTTGAGAGGGAGTAGGGGGCGGAAAGGAGGGGAGGGTGGAGGTGAGGAGGTTGGAGTGGTGGGAAAGGGTGCGAAGAAAGGGAGTAGTAGAGTGGAGAGGAGGAGGAGTGTAAGGAGTAGAGGAAGGGAGGAGAGGAGAGGAGGAGGAGGGGAGGGAAAAGGAGGGAAGGGGGAGGAGGGAGGAATAAGGAAGGAGGTATGGGAGAAGGAGTGAGGCTGGAGGAGAGGGGAGAGTAGGAAAGGAGGGGATGGGTAGGAGGAAGGAAATAGGAGGAGAAGAAGGAGAGGAAGGAGGGGAGGAGGAGGAGGGGAAGAGGAAGAGTTGAGGGGAGGGGGAGGAGGAGGGAGGAAGGAAAGGGGATAGAGGATTGGAGGAAGGAAGGGAGAGAAGGAGGAGGAGGAGGGAGTAGGAGACGAGGAGGTGAGGAGAGGAGGGAAAGGAGGAGGAGGAGGAGAAGGGAGTGAAGGGAGGAGAGGGTAGGAGAAGGAGTATTAGAGAGGAAGGAGGAAGGGAAGTAGCGGGGAGGAGGAGGGAGGAGGGGGAGGAGGAAGGTGGAGGAAGGAGGAGAGGAGAGGAGAGGAGGGAGAGGAGGAGGAGGAGGAGGAGGAGGAGGAAGAGGAGGAGGAGGAGGAGGAGGAGGAGGAGGAGGAGGATGAGGAGGAGGAGGAGGAGGGAGGAGGAGGAGGAGGAGGGAGGCAGGGAGGCAGGGAGGCAAGGAGGAGGAGGAGGGGGGAGGCAGGATGAGGAGGGAGGCAGGAGGAGGAGGAGGCAGGAGGAGGAGGAGAAGGAGGAGGAGAAGGAGGAGGAGGTTGTATTGTAGCATTGTTTGTACACATTGGGGTTAACTAGGTCCTTTTCCTCCTTCCGAGACCCTGCCGCACTCCCCGTGGCAGTCGATGGGCACCTTGCCGAGGAAACAGAAACTCCTTCACCTCCCCTTCGCCTGTCCCTCCGCCCATCGTCCTCCTCTCTGCTCTGCTCGTTCCATCTCCGCCCTCGGTCCTCCAATTTCCCTCCTCGCTCCTCACATTCCCCGTCCTCGTTCCTCCCTCCTCCCATCTATCCCCTGCTCCCTCGTCTAATATGCCTCCTCAGTCCACCCAGTCGCCCTTCCCATTCTCTTTCTCGCTGATCTTTGCTGCTTGCTCATTCTTCACCATTGCCTTTCTGCCTTCTCCTCCTCGTACTTCCTCAGCCATCCTCCTGCTACCTCCAGCTCCTCGTGTTTCGCCCATGCTTCCCCATCTCGTTTTTTTCAGCCATCTTTCCTCCTCCCACGGATGTCCCTCGTCCTTCTCATCCTGGTCCTACTTTTAGCATGTTCGTTCTTTCGGCCTCATCCTCCCAGTAATCCCCCTCCTCGCACACCATACCTGTCGTCCTCCCCTCCTCCTCCTTCTCCTCCTTCTCCTCCTTCTCCTCCTCCTCCTCCTCACCTCCCTCCACCTTACCGTGCTGTCCAATCTTTTTTCTTTCCCCTCCTGCCTGACCGACGTACATCCGTCGACATGCACCTCGTACTCCCGATGGGACGATGAGGTCGGAGGGTGGAGCAAAAGGAGGGAGAGGAGAAGGAGGGAGGAGGAGGGCAGGAGGAGGAGTAAGAGGATGAGGAGGCAGAGAGAGTTGGAAGAGGAGGAGGAGGAGGAGGAGGAGGAGGAGGAGGAGGAGGAGGAGGAGGAGGAGGCAGAGAGGGTTAGGAGGAGGCAGAGAGGGTTGGAGAGAGGAGGAGGTGGAGGAGGAGGGGAGGAGGAGTAGGAGGAGGAGGAGGAAGGAGAAGAAGGAGGGAGGGAGGAGGAGGCAGAGAGGGTTGGAGGACGGAGGAGGACGGAGGAGCGGAGGAAGAGGAGGAGGAGGAGGAGGAGGAGGAGGGAGGAGGAGGGAGGAGGAGGAGGAGGAGGAAGAGGAGGAGGAGGAGGGAGGAGGAGGAGGAGGAGAAGTCTTCCCCCGCTCCCTCCTAAGCCTCTCCCTTCCCCCGTCGGCGCCCCTCAGTTGTTCATGCTCTCTTCCCCGTCCCGCCCCCCCCCCCCCTTCTTTCCTCTCTCTCTCTCTGGTCCAATTCCTACCATCCTCCGGCCCCTCCTCTTTTTCCTACACCTCCCCCATCTGCCACTTTCCCCCCTTACCCACCGATCTTTTTGGGGAGGAGGAGGAGGCGGAGGAGGAGGAGGAGAGGACCGGAGGAGGAGGAGGAGGAGGAGGTTTTGGAGGAGGAGGAGGAGGAGGTAAGAGAGGGTTAGAGGATGAAAGAAGGGAGGGGGAAGAGGAGCCTGAGCGCCGAGGGGAGAAAGAAGAAGAAAGAAGAAAGCTCTTCCCCCGGGGGCGTACTTTTCATCACTCAGCCTACTTCCCTACCACCTGTTCACTCTTCATTTTCTCTGTCCCATCCTTCCCGTCCTGCCCCCTGCCCCCCCCCCTTTCTTCTCTCCCCTCTAGCCCCATCTCCCATCCTCCGCCCCCTCCTCTTTCTCCCTACCCCCATCTGCCCCTTTCCCCCCTCCTCATCCTACCTGTCTTCCCTTTTTCCCCATCCTTTCCCCCACCCTCCTCTTCCTCCTCCCCTCCTCCTCCTCCTCCTTCTCCTCCTTCTCCTCCTCCGCCTCCTCCTCCCCCCTCCTCTAGCTGTAGGAAGCGGAAGTACATGCAGGGCCCCGGGAGCGGCAGCGGTGGTGGCGCCGGGCTGCAGGGGGACCGCAACGACCCGACCTGCTGGGACTGGGTCAGGACGTCGGGACGGGGGGATTCGTGAGGAGGACAGCCTTCCTTGAGATCCTCCCAGACCCCATTGAGTAATGACAAAAATCACGACGCGAGATTTTTCGCTATTTTCGGCCTCCGGGAGCCCTTACTGGCCTCGGCAACCTCAGAAAACGATTTAGGATGACAAACGGGTCCCGGGGAATGTGTCCGGACTTCTGGGGGTCGCGTCATGAAAAAATCGTGGCGTCGGGGGTCTGGGCTGGCACTGCATGTTTTCACGCAGTCAGCGATTTTTTGCCTCGTCTCGGGCCCCCCGGGGCCCTCCCAGGTGCGCCCCGGCTCGAGATGTGCGGCAGACGGGTGGGGTGCAGGACTCTGGACGCGATTTTTTGTGATGTTGCATTCTTTGGTGGACGTCGGATCTTAGGGTTAGGGATGATGGGCCTGTTTTCCACCACCACCATAACTTGAATGGGGGGAAGGAGGAGGAGGAGGAGGAGGAGGAGGAGGAGGAGGAAGACCCGATCCCCCTCCAACTTCTGGTGGTGGTGTAAAACAGGCCCATCAAGGGAGGGGCTCAGGAGGAGGACGCATCGGCCCCCCATCGCACACGAATCGCCGATGGCTGTCCTGTGGCATCGAGGCCCCTGGCCAGGGGAGCCAGTCGATCTGGGCCTTCTCCCGGGATGGCCCTCTCCTCGGTGGAGGGTCAACTGGAGGAGGACGAAGAGGAGGAGGAGGACGAAGAGGAGGAGGAGGAGGAGGAGGAGGAGAAGGAGGAGGAGGGGTCCTCGGTGGAGGGTCAACTGGCAAGACCCGTTGATCGCCGAGAGCGGCCCGATGGCCCACCCCGCCCATCCCGCCCGGGAGCGTGCGGATCCGCCAGGGGGGCCCGTCGCCCATCTGTCTCGCCGAGTGCCCACTCGCGAGCGTCCGAGAAACCATGCGCCTGCCTCTGCGTAGTGTGTCGCAGATCCCCCGCGGCGGATCCGGGCCACCTGCGAGTAGTGCTATTTGCGAGCAGTGGAGCGCGCTCGCGTCCGAGAAACCGTGCGCCTGCCTCTGCGTAGTGTGTCGCAGATCCCCCGCGGCGGATCTCCGGGCCCTCTGCGAGCAGCTCTTCTGCGAACAGTGGAGCGCGCTCGTCTGCTATCCGGGGCGCCTCGCCGACGCCGTCTCGAGGTCCCCCCCGCCCAGAGCCGAGCAGAGCAGCGTTGCCCCTCCTCTCTACTCCTCCTCCCCCTCCTCTACCTCCTTCCCTCCCCCCTACTACTTCTTCCCACCCCCTCCTCCTACCTCCTCCTCACTCCTCATCCTCCTCCTACTCCTCATCCTCCGCAGCCTCCTCCTCCCCCTCCTCCTCCTCCTTATCCTCCTCCTCCTCTCCTCCTCCTCCTCCTCCTCCTCCTCCTGCGAGCGCCGGCGCGGGGATGCATCGACCCCCGTTGCCGAGCGAGCGTGGCCAGAGCTGGCGCCGCCCCCCCTCGCCAGCGCACGGATCGATCCGCTGCGCGAGGCTTGCACGGGCTGAAGCCTTCCTTCTCTCGAGGGGCCCAAGGACACACAAAGGCATACACACAAAGTCCAGGATTCCCCCCTATGTTCAATCTTTTCTGGTTGATTGTGTCTGTGTGTTTTTTGTCCCTCCTGATTCTCGCCGACCTCCTCGTGGCAGCAGTGAGGCCTAGCACACCTCCTCGGAGCGACCTGCGCCTCGCAAGTACACGGCATGCCTGAGTGTGGAAGGGACAAGCCTTGAACACCTTGGTGCCCTCGGTATCAGAGACAATGCCAGCCCCCCGACGCCATGATTTTTTCGTGACGTCGACCCCCAGGGGTCTCGACCCATTCCCTGGGACTGGCTTCTCATCCTGAGTCGTCGTTTGACGGTCCCGAGGGCCGGCAACGGCCTCCTCCAGAGGCCGAACGCAGCGAACCGTCTCGCGACGTGATCTCTTCGGGCCTCCGGGGGTCGCACCCCCGCTCAGCTTCTTGACCTGCCCGGGGCGCGCGGAGTCCCCGCACCTCTCCGTATGCTGCGGCCACCGGGGCGCGAGGGCGGGGCGAGAGGGGGGGGCGAGAGCGGGGCGAGAGGGGGGGGCGGGGCGTGGAAAGCAGGGCGGGGGGGGGGGGGCAGGCGGGGAACCCCAGGGGAAGGGAAGTGTCGGGCGATCGCAGGCATGGATCAATGGGGGCGTGGATCAGCGACGGGTCCCGTTTCCAGGGGAAGTCGCGGACTTCCGCCGTCGAGCGAGGCGGCACCGGCCGCATGTTGGGGAGGGCCCCCCCCCCGATCCATGGATTCGGCCACCGTGCGCCAAATCCATGGATCGCTAATCCATGTTTGCGCGCCCCCGAACCGATAGAGGCGCCAATCCGCTTCCCAGGGACAGTTTCTCCTCCCCGGCTGCGTTTTTCTGAATACCCTGGGCATCAGGCCGAGATCGAGCAGACAAATACACCCGGATGGAACACGCAAAGTTCAGCCAGAGGTCCGTATGTTCGGGGCCTTGTGACCCTGGGGCCACCCTTTCTAAGGAGGGTCCCGATGCTTGCATGGGCGCTGTTGTGCTTCCTGGCGCGGTCGATCCGATTTGATCTCGACCCCGTGCCGATGCGGCCCGATTCGACGCACGCTCCTCCGGGCAGATCCGACTGGGTTTGCCGATTCGCTGCTGAGTAGATCCTCGGAGGGAGGGAGGAGGCGTGGAGGGAGGGAGCAGGAAAGATGACGGAGGAGGAGGGACCAGAAGGCAGGAGCAGGGAAGAGGAGATATGGGAGGAGGAGGAGGAAGAGCAGGAGGAGGAGGAGGAACACCAGAGTAAAGTAAACCCAATTTGCATCAACCCAAAATGCATCAACGATGCCGCAAAACACCCGTCCCACGTCCCCCCCTTATTTGTCCCTTGGAAATGCCAGCACCCTCTAGGCCTGCCGTTCACGCGAGAGCCCCGTTTTGAAATATCACGTGTTGCTTCGCAACCTTCCAGCGATTAATACAGAAAGCGCAGTGGTATGATCATACAGTTCAAAGATGTGTACAGCGATCGCCCATATCTGTGTAATTCGTGCACCGTTTCAACGTATGGCCGTGAGCGTCGAAGAAATCTCAAATAAAGGAGACGGCCTCCATCCGTGCAGGCGTTGCGTCCTTTTATGGTTCCCGTCGTCTCAGAAATGCATAAGTACCAAGCGACTGAACAATGTCAGCCAGCGTTGACCCCAACCAGTGTTTCTCTAAATCTACAGGTGGTTATGTGGAGCAATCTATGCGGTGCACTCTACGTGGAACACTACATCTGGTGCAACGTGTGTCGTGCAGTTTGTGTTGTGCAATATACGATGCACAATCCATGTTGTGCAATCTACGTGGTGCAATCTGGGTGGTGCAATCTATCGAAGACGCCTACGGCGAATCACCGCCGCCCCCCTGCCTTTTTGGAAGCGCCTAGGTGGCCGAACGTTGATGCCAGATCTGCCAAGCTATCGGACCATGTGTCCCCCGAGTCGGTTTGGAAAGCCTTCGGGGAACACGTGGGCATCTTGAAGGTCCTCTTGGCCGCCTGGAGGCCTTTTTGAGCCTTTCGGGCCTTCTTGGAGGACGTCTTGGAGGGCTCTTGGGCCGTCTTCGAGGCCATCTTGAGCGTCTTGGAGGCCTCTTGAGCCGTCTTAGGGGGCTTCTTGGGGCCGTCTTGGGCCTCTTGGGCGATCTTTAGGGGCTCGTGGGCCGTCTCGGGCCGTCGGAAGGCGGAACAAAAAGCAAATGCCACAATTCTTCAAACACTCATGGGCCATCTTAGGCCATCTTCGGCCGTCTTGGTGGGCTCCTGGCCCGTCTGACGCCGTCGGAAGCCGTTTTGGGGGCCTCTGTGGGCCGACTTGGGGCCCACTTGGGGTGCTCCAGGGCCGTCTTGGAGGCCATCTTGGGCGTCTGAAAGGCCTCCTGGGCCGTCTTGGAGGCCTCTTGGGGCCGTTTTGAGGGTCTCTTGGGCCGTTCTGGGGCCATCTTGGAGTTCTCTTGGTCGATCTTTGTGCGATGTTTGGAGTCTTTTGGGCCGTCTCGGTCCGTCGGAAGGCCGAAACGAAGCAAATGGCAAATCCTTCAAAAACCTAAGGGAAATCAGTGTTTCGGCCTTTTCTCGCTTTCCTGGAGCACTCTTTCTTGGAGGCCTCTTGGGTCGTCTTGGGCCAGCTTCGAGCCACCTTCGGCCATCTTGGTGGGTTCCTGGCACGTCTGACGCCGTCGGGAGCCGTCTCGGGGGCCTCTCTGAACCGATTTGGGGTCCTCTTGGGGCGCTTCGGGGCCGTCTTGGAGGCCATCTTGGGCGTCTTAGGGCCCTCTTGGGGCCGTCTTGGAGGCCTCTCGAGGGAGGGAGGGAGGGAGGGAGGGAGGAGGGAGGGAGGGAGGGACGGGAGGGAGCGAGGGAGGGAGGGAGGAAGGGAGGGAGGGAGGGGGGGAGGGAGGGAGGAGGAGGAGGAGAGGAGGAGGAGGAGGAGGAGGAGGAGGAGGAGGATGGAGGAGGGGAGTGACGAGGAAGGAGGAGGGAGGCGCCGGGATGAGGGTGTGAGGATCCTCCTCCTCCTCCTCCTCCTCCTCCTCGACTTGCGTGCTGCTCTCCTGTGTGGTGCCTCTCCCCCTCCCTCCCCTCCCAAGAGGAGGGGCTTCTGCCCGCGCGGCGACGCCTGCCGCTACGCCCACGGGCCGCCCGCCGCCGCCGACGGCGAGGCCCCGCCGCCCGCGGCCGGCGCTCCCGCGGCGGAGGCCGCCGCCTCGCCCGAGGTGGCCGCGGCGGCCGCGGCGGTGGGCGCGACGCTGCCGCCGGCAGGCGACCCCAGAGTCAACGTCGGGAGCCTCGAGACGGGGGTCAGTGCAGACGGGGGTCAGCCAGGGCGCCGGATCCTGCAGGATCTTGCGAAGACCCCCTCTGGCTGACCCGGGTTAGCGAGCCGCTCGTGGCCGCGAGGCGGCCGCGCCTATTGGCTGACCCGGGCTTGCGAAGACCTGCATTGCAGTTTTTTTTTCCTGCATTGCAGTTTTTGGTTTCCTGCTGACCCGGGTCTGGATTGACCCGGGTCAGAAGATCCCCGACAACGGGCGAAAAACGGTATAAAATTAAATTTTTCCGCTGTCGGGGGCGCCTGCCCCAGGGCGGCTGGAAAGTTTACACCCTTGCGGTGGCACCGTAGGGGTACAAACTTTCCAGCCAGCCTGGGGCAGGCGCCCCCGACAGCGAAAAAGTTTACTTTATGCCGTTCTTCGCCCGTTAATCCTAGGGGAACAAGCAATGACATAAGCACAAAAACCTGGAGGTCCGCGCGGATTTCTCGGATCCGCGCTTGAACTCCCCTGGCGGCGCCTCTGGTGCCACCCCTGGCGCGTTCCGCGCGCCAGGGACGGGGGTCCAGCGCCGATCCGAGAAGTCCGCGTGGACCTCCGAGTCAGCCCTGGGACGCCCTGAGGCAGCTGCGCCTCGCCGTGAGCGTTCTGGGGCCGCCCGGATCGTCCCGAACGGCCGCCAGAGGCCCGAGCTGTGGCGGGAAAGCCGAGCTCGGCGGCGCGCCTGCCCTTGCCCGGGCCCCAGGATCGTCGACAAGAAACGACTCGGGACGAAACGCTGCCCCTGGGGAACGGGGGGGCGGCTTCCGGGGACCCCGCGTCGACAAAAGCCAGGACGCCGCATGTCTGGGAACGGCCCCGCGGGGCCCTCCCTGGGGGCGTCGGGGGCCTCGGGAGGGGGGGGGGACGGACTCTGCCGGCGGGCTCCGCGGGCTCCTTCGATCCAGTTCTGCACCCGGCACCCCGGGGGCACCCAGCGCGGGCAGCGGGGCGTTTGGGCCATCCTCCTGCTTGTGTTTCGCCTTTGGTGTGTGCTGTGGGGCAGTTGCCTACGACGCCACCCCGAAGTTCGACAGAGCGAGAAGCAGGTCTGGCTGGCGAGCGATGACTATCGTGCCAGCCCCTTGCCGAATCTCGACGGCGCACCGAGGGAGCTTAGCGGTTCACTCTGCCGGCGAGTGG